CATGGAGGCCAAATTTACCACCTGGCACACAGCAGAGCTTCTGGATAAGTGCTTCTTAATTGCTTCTTAAACTTTCTTTAAAAGCCACTATTCTTGCATAATACACTATTTCACACCCTATGGTAGTATCATTTGATATACTTTCTTCGGGATAAATGACTAAGAGTCTGCTAAGAAAAGGAAGAAAGGGAGGGAGGGATAAAGAATTGATAAAGCCTAAATGGGAGACAAAAAAAAAAAAAAGCAAAACTACATAGAAAGAAAACTCAGTTAGGTGAAAACCAAGGCTTTCTATAGCTCCTTTTCCTTTAGGACTGATTTTGTAGCCTCCCTTATTTGGATCCAGGGTGAAGAAAGTGTGATCCAACTACATATTTCTCATCCATGATATGAGAAACTGGAAATTGGTAGCAATGCCTTTTAAATCTCCCTGTGCTGAGACTACAGGATAGCTTTCAGAGTAAAGTTATCCAACATGTAGAGTACTCATATTCCTATATTTTCTTGGTAATAAAAAGAGATATCACTCAGCTGCTCATGAGGCTTGAAGCCTTATGGTTTTTTGTTTTGTTCTGTGGTCCTGGGGATTGAACCTAGGGCCTTCACACTGAGCCATATCCCCAGACCTTTTTTTTTTGAACAGGGTCTCGCAAAGTCACTAAGTTGCTCAGACTGCACTTGAACTTGCAATGTTCTGTCCTCAGCCTCCCCAAATGCTGCAGTTACAGGAGTATGCCACCAAACCAAACTCCTATAATATCTAATTGAAAAGAAGGAGGTTGGTGACTCAAAATAGTAACTAGAAAGAATCATTCATTTGTTCTATAAAGTTTACTAAAAGTTTTGCTCTGAACCAGGTCCCGTGTTAGATTTCGGGAATAAAGAAATCAAGATACTGGCTCTTGCCTCTGGACAGCCTACAGAAAAGTAAATGAAAGGCAGTCATATGCTGACATTAAGCTACTGTCATTTTAGAAAACTGAGGATCTGATTTTGTCTCTTTTTCAGGTCTGGGGTTGATAATTAGCATGGAGTAGTGATCTAGTACTGGGCTTCAAAGAGATTAATGTAGATGGCATGCCATATAGCTTTTTACATGTAAATGCATGACCAAAATTATAGTACTCACTTTTATTTGAAAAGTGCTTTAAGGGTCGGGAATATAGCTCAGTGGCACAAGCACCTGTCTGGCAAGCTCAAGGTCCTGAGTTCGATTCCAAGTACCAGAAAAAAAGCTTAATCAGAAAAGCACTTCACAATTTTCAAAGTACTTTCACATCCATTATGTAATGCAAAGTAACCTACGGGATGTGAGAAAAACACAGCTCCTTTTCTAAAAGAAATTAAGTGCTAAAGACTCACCCTAATTTAGTAAACTATTAGTAACAGAAACCTAGACTTTAAAATTCTCAGCTCAAAGTTCATTTTTATCACACCATGAAGCCCAAATTCAAAGAAAAACAAAATGAGGGGCTGGGTATTTAGCTCAGAGGCACAGCACCTGCCTGGCAAGTGCGAGGTCGTGAGTTCAACTCCCGGTACCAGAAAAAAAAAACAAAAAAAAAAGAAAAACCAAATGAGTCATAACTATAAGAAATGTCCATGAGATTTCTAGGACCTGCAAAATAACATTAACAATATGTATGCTTAATATAAACACTTAGTATATTTAGTTCTTCAATCTGAAATGGGAAAATTATCTGAAGATAAATATATAAAATGAGCTATGAAGATTTTTTTACATACAGAGTGTCATTACTCTATCTGTAAGCTTCCCCAAATCTGCTCATATGACAATAAACTCTGGTTTGCCAATAATTTATTTCATAAATCTATTATGATACAGAAACATAGTCAATAAAAATTAAGGTATTTCCTACAAATCCACTGTAATTTTTTTCAAATAAACCTGCAAAACTGAGGAAACCCTCTCCAACAACATTCCATTATTTTGGAGGCGATGTAGCCTTCTCACTTTGTTTTCAAGTTTAAAGAGATGGACAATGCACTTATAGTATGAAAATTCAAGTTTTCCCAATCCTTAAAATACTGACATAATTATTCAAGCACAAAAGAAAAACCATAATAAAAGGCTGAAAAAGAATTTATCCGGCAATGAAACTTAACTTTTTCCAAAACAGAAATTTGGGTAAGAGTCAGCAGGTCCACGAAAAATGTATTCATTCTGATGTACGAATACGGTTCTCACTAAAATGGGACAGCAGTCTCCTTGTCATGCTTTTCTACTTCTAAGAGGATAAAAAACACACACGCCTTTACTGAAAACATAACTCATTTACAAGTAAAACAATTAGTATAATCATATTTTAAAACTATGAACAATTTCAGCACAATCTCTAAAAGTATGTTTCCTGTGATACCACCGTATACCATATAAAGTGAGAAGAACTATCCAAGGGATTTGAGTCTAAAAATGTACTTTCTCATTCTGAACTAGTCAGATTGGTATTTAATCCAAACGTCATCAAATGTTGCATTAAATGTGCCAGGATAAAAAGATTAAACACAAACTCTCCAAACATATCATGGAGAAAATGGTACAAAGACTTGAAGACTGTGTAACTCTGTCCCTGTTGTCCCTTTTCACTCAACACATGCACACACAACAAAATTTTTAAAATGGGAGTATAGTCAACGAATGTGAGAATAAAAGAATTGGTTCCTGTGAGAGCTTATGTAGCATAAGGAAGATACACACGATAAATAGAAAGATACCCAATATTAAGCACTCATTAGTGGGGGAGGGAGAGCTTTATGTTTCTTTCACATTACTATATCTTAGTTTATACTTTAAGTGGGCTGAAATATTAATAGATTCTAATGTAGAAAAAGAAATGCCTCCAGTAAGATCTAATTTAGTACTTAAAAAAAAGAATTAAAATGTCTACTAGTGAATGATCTTATTAAAAGAATTGTCTCTGCAGTCATTAAAAAACTAGCTTGATTAGCTAGCCATTACTAGAAAATTTAAAAAGATACAATGGTTTTCACTCATAAGCTGGAATCCTATTAGAGGAAAGAAATTAAAGGGTCCAGCTCTTTTTAAAAGTGAAATCTTTTGATTTTGAGAAAACAAAACCTTGCCAGGACTGTTGGTGCATACCTGTAATCTCAGCACTCAAGAGGCTGAGGCAGGAAGATCGAGAGAGTCAGCCTGGGCTACACAGTGAGTTCAAAGTTAGGCTGAAGTATACAGCGAGGCCCTGTCTCAAAAATAAAAAAAGAAAGCAAAACCTACTCACGGGTGGTAGAATACCTGTAATCCTAGCATTTGAGAGGCTGAGTCAAAAGGATCACAAATTCAAGGACAGCCTGAACTATATGGTAAGACCCAGTTTCAAAAAAACACAGAAGGGCTGGGGATTTAGCTCAGCAGCGAAAGCGCTTGCCTGGCATGCGCAAGGTCGTGAGTTTGGTTCCCGGTACCGGAGAAAAAAACAAAAACAAAAAAACACAGAAGAAAAACAAAGTAAAATGTACTGATTAAAGATAAATTCCTATAAAAATCCGCTTTTCAGATTGTCATATTTGCTGAACTAAAATTCATTAGCAAACTGCAAGTCTGAACAGGTTATATCCTCCAGAATATATGAAAAAAGTAAATTTTATTTTGTTTTGGATCTCTAGCATTTGAATAAAGGGAATTATGTATAATATAAACTATTTTTCAGAATCTAAGCAGAAAAGGTTTTCCACTAGAAAAGGCAACTCAACAAAGCCATTTCTAACATAACATGGAATTTCAGTATGAATTCTAAATTTTGAAATAGCTTAAAATCCAATCTGCTAACACCTAATATAAAGAACAAATAAAGTTTGGGGAGGAACTTGGAAGTTGAAGTTTACACATTTATAGAATACTTATCACTTAAAATAAAAAAAATTTTTAAAGACATTTGAGGTTAAAAATCAAATTGATGTGTCTATAACCTAGTATCAAAACATTGCTCTTTATTTAAAAGAGGAAGGACTTTTCTAATGTAAGGATGAAAAACCAAAACATATCTGCCTGCTTTATAAATATCCATATTGGGCTGGGGATATAGCTCAGTGGCACAGTGCCTGCCTGGCAAGAGCAAAGTCTTGAGTTCAATTCCTAGTACAAAAAAAAATTTAAAAATTTTTAAAACTCCATGATCTTTCTTGCACTCAAGAAATCTACTTTAACGCAAGTCCCTTGGGTTTCTACCATCTTCCCTTTCACTGACCATCACTCTACATTCAGATTTCAACATCTAGGCAAAGGCAGAGATTGAGTAAGTCTTCTTAAAACTGCTAAAAACTAAAACCAGCAGAAAAGTGGAGGAAACATTTCTCATGAGCAGAGCTGCCAGAAATCCTTCTCTCCTTTTAGAAAAATAAACTTCTTACTTCAAAAATAATCACTTTTAAGAAAAAAAGACAACACTACACACAAACATACACCACTCTAATAAAAACACTAGAAACAATGATAAAATCCTATACATTATGCTATACTTTGGGAAGGAAAAAAAAAATATATATATATATACATACATATTTTTTCCCCCCAGAAAAAGAATAGCAGTAAAAAAGACTCTGATTAACTAGAATTTCCCTTTCTCCCCTTCGGAGTGAATTCCATAACACTAGCTGAAAGAATGCTTTTCAAAATGACTTTGTTGCTACTATAATATAGTACCACACACTCCTGGTGCTGGGGAATTAACCCAGGGTTTTGCATATACTCAATATATACTCTACAGCAAAGTCATGTCAATGGTATATTTTCTAACTCAGTTGCTTAAGGTACCCTTCTCCCGAATGTTCAAATATTTCAAAACCTTAAGAACAGAGTTTGAAAAGGTCTTTAAAAAGAATGAAAATTTCAAAAAGAACAGAAAACACTAGTCACATTTTACATATTTCCATTATAAGGAAAAAAAAACACTAGTCACATTTTACATATTTCCATTATAAAGAAAACAAAAAACACATTTTACGCATTTCCACCATTATAAACTGTAATACTATCATTTATTTTTTAACTTATTTAAATACATTTTCCTATTAAAGAGAACTTTAATTCAATTCAAATAGTCTCAATATACATAAACAAAGCCACAGGCCAAAATACTGCAATGCAATGACTTCTAAGCACACATATCTTCAGATATCTGTGAAGCATGGCACAAAAGGTAGCTCAGTTTTCATAAACTGTGGGAGTTGTCTTTGTTTTTGCTTCATGGTTTATTGCAAAATTGTAAAAGTAAAATTTAAGTGCTCATATTATTTACTTTATTGAGAATTCTCTGAAAAAAATACTACACAAAACATTGGCTATCTAAATTAGTGCTGAAACTTGCAGTGCAATTACATTCTGACACAAAGATAAAAATAAAACCCTGTTAATTCATCAGTATATTTAATATTCCCTGTTAAAGATATCAATTGCACATGAAGTCCAAATAGCTGGAAAGAATCTAGAAAAGCGACAAGAAAATGACTTTTAAAAATGACACTTTTCACACCCAGGTTCAGTCATGCCAGCTGGAGAGGTGTTAAATATGGCTTTATTCCTTTTAAATCTGAGAAGTGTAGTCATTTCTATGACATTTCAAAAGTTGGAAATGAGCAATTTTTCTTCATGATCCTGATTCTTCTGATTCAAATCACATTTAGAAATCAAATTTAGAAGGTAGTTTGGATAGACCATTTGCTTGCTACTGTTTACAGTCAAATTATTCTGTCTCAGATCTAGCAAACTAGGAATACAAAGAGATAAAAAGTGAAGAAGAACAACCACCAAAAAACTCCCCGCACACAGAATGATCAGGAATCTGAGCTACTTCAGACATGTCACCCATTAAGGGGGCCTTTGTTTCTAATTGTATAAGGGTCCTTGGCTGCAGTCTGACTCACACAAGAAGTACACACGGCCCCTGAGAGGCCCTTTAGTCCCCTTTGGAAGACACTATTGGAGAGACTGTAAATGACACAGTTGCAGAAACTGTTACTAATTGCAAGCCAGGTGGTTAAGAAGGATGCAAAGCGGTTGCTGTGGTCAGTGGAACTCTCCAACAAGAAGTAGATGATATATGGCAACCAGAGGATATAGAACACACTAGTGATACGAAACAGGACCATGGCATAACGTTTATCGGGACATGCCTGTACTTCCCCAGTCTCCCCACTCTGGCTGCTGAAGCGGGCTTGCCTTTCGCTGATCTCCTTTGTGTGCTGTTGGCAGATGCGGAAGATGTTGAAATATGTGAAGCAGACAATGAAGGCTGCTGGGGCATATAACATCATCACGATGAACAAGGTGAAGTAGGGGTCGGTATGCCAGGACTCTGCACACCACTGAAACACATCTCCATGATATCCAGGTTTGCCCCAGTGGAAAAAGGAAGGCAGGAAGACCAGGGTGGAGTATAGCCAAATCAGAAAAATGCACAGGCGAAGTCTCCAGGGTGTAACCAGGCTATTGTAAGTTAAAGGTTTAGTGATGGCAATGTATCTATCAATGCTGATACAGGCCAGAGAGGCCATGGAGACACTCTTCAGAACTGATACTACAAAACCAAATATCTGGCAAGTCAAGGACTCCTCTATTGGAAGTGGGTAGTGGAGGAGTGATAAAGAAGGGACCAGGCAGCTTACTCCAACTAAGAGGTCAGCATATGCCATTGTCTGAATAAAATAACTTGTGGTGTGATGGTTCAACAAAGGTGCACAGTGAAATACAAAAATCACAACGATGTTGCCAATAATAATCAATACAGTTAGAAAGACAATAATCAGCACTTCCAAAAGGCAAAAACTGACAGTTTCCAGGTAGCCAAATGCCAAGAGACAAAAAGGGTGGGTGCTCTGATTACCATCCAAGGTGGAGTTCATCTTGAGCTCAGGAGTGATCTCTCACTTCATGCTGCCGCTTGGCTGCTGCTAACGTTCAAAGGAGCAGCTGCTGTCAATGCGGTCAGCTTTGCATATGTGTAAAATGTCAGAGGAGCCTTAGTCCCCAAGCTCCCGAGGCTGCTGCTCTGGTGCATTGCCTGCAGTGCAATTCCCCTTTAAGTCCTTCTTGGAATAGGGAGAGCCAACAGCAGTTGTCTGGCCAGTCCCAGACGCCGCCATAGTGCCAGGTTCACCATATACATAGCACCAGGGGAGTAAGGCAAACTCTGGGAACAATGTCTTCAGGCCAAGTGAGAGTAGGGGAAGGGGCAGAAGAAGGGAGGAAGATTAGAACTTCAGCAGGAGTTGTAATGAGTCTCCTCTGAACAGCTGATAGAAGAAAAGGAGAGAGCATTTTACATTTTGCATTCAATGCCCTAATCAAAGAACCTAGCTACCTCCGGCTGGTATCACCCCTCCCACTCCACCCCTTCTGGTATCACAAATGGCTAATCTCCGTAATACCCCACATAACTGGTCCTTTACTGAGAAGGAGCAACACCAAGCTTTCAAGAACAACATAAAACAAAAGCAATCACAATCAGATCTATCTATGCCTATTTTCTTTCCTTTGAGCTTTTTGGGGGAGAAAAACAATCTTACAGCAATTCTGAAAACACTTTACTACATTACCACTAATAAAATAACCCGAGATAATTTATGTTCTACATTAAATCTGATGTAATATTTTACCTCTGAAAACATTTTAATAGAATTTATCTGTTTAGCTCAATTTCACAGTGTTACCTGTAATTCTGCATGCTGCAATCCAAACAAAAGCCACAATACATCCTTAACAGAAAGCCTTGCAATGCAGGAATGTGTTCAGCCCGTGTACTGCAGAACTGAGACACAGAGGGAGGGGATAAACGAGTAGGAGGGGAAACAGGGAGAAGAGGGGCCTTGGGAAAAGGAAGAAAAGGGGAGGGGAAAGAAACAGCATGTGTGCGCACACGCTGGCATCTTTTGCAACTCATTAGAATTTATCACCCAAGAGGTGTTCCCCGATTATGATTATCACTTGCTAAATGGGGAAATGACTTAACATGCCTGAAGTGAAGTATTTGAAAGCCATTTCCTTGTCTGTCTGGAATCCCCCTCTCAAACAGATAAGCAGAATTTAGACTTCTAGGCAAGGAAAATGAATAGTAACCAGGCAGTCAGGAATTAGACTGATACACGATGCCAGAGGGCCAATGGGTGAGGGGAAATTTCTATTTTCTTGCAGTAATTTCCCAAGGAACAATATTAAAGAAAGGAAGTGTGTTAACAATACATGGCAACTGAGAAATCACAGTTCAGCTGCAAAAGAAGTTCAAGCTGTAAGGCTAAATATTCAACATTAATTTTTTTTCCTCATAACTCACTAGATATTGGCTAATATTAAGAAATTTTAAAATCAGTTTTTTCAAGAGAAGAATAAACATTGCCCAGTCTGATTCTGCAAAAACAGGGCACACAAAGAAATCAGTGCTTCTGTGTGTGCTATCAACTTACAGTTTTGAGATACCATTTCTTGCTTCTACTATGCTAAGGAAGCACTGTACAAACACAAACTAAAAGATGGAAAACTAAATACACTCTTCTCTAGACTTGAAAACTACAGGAAGTTTCACGGTACAAGTATGTCTTTGTATCTGAGAATACAGAATTTTACTTCTGCCTGCTTAAAACAATGCAAACTAGAATTATGTTGTGGTTTTTCTGGTAATGTAATAAACGATGATAATTTTCTGGTAATCTGGAGTAAGATTCTGTGGAAATGGTATATTAGTTTAAGTATTTTTTCTTCCAGACATTTATGAACTTTCAATTCATCTTTCTAAATAAAGTTCCACATAGCCAGCAGAGTAAAAGAAAATAAACATTGGTGTCCGTAAGCATTCCAGGTCTGCACACTTAAGTGAAGCATATATTATGTGACACAACTTTTGCTTTTACTCATTTCATACATGTTTTCTTATTGCACACAAAATTCTACCCATTAGCAAAATTCAACAAATCGCATTTTAAATCAGAAATACTGTGCTAATTATATGAAGCAACACGCTTAAAAACCCATGTGAACCTAGGCCTGATAGCAATATTTGACTTCTTATTGGAAAACTTGGCAAAATGTGGCACAGTAAAAACAACAGCATCAAAGGAACAGCCAGGTGGTTCAAATCCTTGCTCTACTATTAGCCTCTCTTAGCCTCTGTTTCTTCACGTGTAAAAGGAGGATAATACTCCCTACTTCACTCCCTCCCTTCATTGGGAGGGAAATAAAGACTGTGCACAAAGGCTTACCAACACCTAGCACAAAGGAAGTATATAACTTTATTTTCCACTCATACAAGTAAAATAGCCTGCCTACAGAGCCAGTGTTTTCACACCAATCGTGTGGCACTGCTTGAGGCTGGGCTTCTCTGTATCCTGAAGGACCTTCTCCTATTGTGACTGCACAGGTCGAGGCCACAACAGCTCTCAGGATTCAGTGCTGTCAGGCATCATTCAAATACCTTGAGCTATACATAAGCAAGGCAGTGCAGGGACCTGGAGAGAAGGAACGATGGTACGGTATCAATTACTGCCTCTTTATAAGTAACTGCTCTGTGTAGGCCCCCAGCCCTGATTTCACTCCTGAGCTCTTTCTTCTACTTACAATTTGCCAGTTAGTCTCATGCCCTTGTAGCTTTTACCCGGAGTATGTTTAAACGAAAGTAACTTTTTTTTTTTTAATACCAAATAAGCCTCTCATTTTTTCCCAACACTTTTTCCAGACACTTCTAAGAAATCATCTTGACCACTCTTCTCCCTTGATGCAGTGTTTCTGTTTACCAAGTCCTGCGACTCTGTTTCTATACTGCTTTTCAAAATTCCTTTTCCTCCTTCCAGTTTTTAGTTTAGGCCTCACTAATGACCATTTGAGCTCCTCGTTTTGTTCATTTTCATACTTAATCTATTCATTTCTGCCTGATAAAATATCTAAAAGCACATATTCCACATGGAACTTCATTGTTCCAATCTGATCATACTGTTCTATTTCCCCCAATCACTTTGCCCTCCAGCAGAATCAGGATACTCACTATTCTACATACTTCTCATTCTGAAGCCCTTAAATTGAGTGACTAATAGTTACTGAATGAAGAAAGGAATAATTTCTGAGAATTACTATTTTCAATAAAAGGAGTAAGTATTTGCCAAAGTAAGGAGTCCAGGCTTTTCTTGTAAATGTGGACACGTAATGTATTCTCTATATCTCACATTTCTACAGAGTTATGCTGATAAAAATAGATACTGAGCTGGCTGATAACAAATTTAATAATAAAACAATAAAACTACAAGCTATTATACTACTATCATGAGTACAACAATTCTTTGAACTTCTTTCTATGTTAGTAAAAGCCATGTTAATACAATCAAAATATTCCCTTAGGAAGCTTAAAAAAAAAAAAAAGGCTGCTAGCCTCATAAAGGCTAGCACTGCTAGTCAAGAGTTAAATATTTTGTTTGTAATTAAAACAATATTTCTTTCCAAACAGACAAATTATTAAGTGACTTAGGGAGGTAGTAAATCTGTATCATCACAATATTATTTTTTCCTTAAATATTCCTTGGAGGGGTTGTCAAGAGTATCCATTTCTGAATATAAGTTACTAGAAGGCAATACATTTAAAAAATCAACTCTACTTATTGGTTGGTGGGACAAGTGTTTTTTTAAAAAATAAATTCTACTTATAGCATTCTATATTTTCTGAACTTCACAATTTGCATTATTTTTATAATCAGGTAGAAAAAAAAAAAGCAGCCAAAATAAGGCTGTTTAAGGTAGTAAAGTTCACAAAAATCTGTCTGCAAGATATCCTCTCACATGGGTTAGGCAAGAAGCGATGATGGTAGGTTTAACTTGCCTACTTTATGGGACTCAGTTCTACTTGTTCTTATTCCATGAAAGCAACAATCCTTTAGCCAGTCTTTGGCACTCATGCTAACTCATACAACCGGTTAAAAAATTCTTACAGATACAAGAATGTAACTGGATGAACCATATGAACTTGCCAATATTTAACCACTTTACTTTTGGTTAAATATTTTCTGACCTGCAAAAATTACAACATGTATGATTCTACTTGACAGAATTAAAATAGATTAAAATAATAAAAGAAATGACAGAATTAAAAATGAAACAAAGCAGAAAGAAAAGGAGAATTTAACAACAAAAAAGAGATTTCAATTATATTTATTTTTCTTTCAACCTATCCTGAGGCTTAACTCCTACAAATGAGAAAAGATGAGTCTTTTCTCATTAAAGGGTTAGGTGGACAGAAAATTTAATAATCAATGTCTTTTTCTCTGTTGTAGCAATTGGGAGAAAAATTTGTTTTCTACAAGAACACTCAAGACAATTCTTAGCAATAAGTCATACAAAAACGCACAAGGCTCATATGAAGGCTAATCTTAAATCTTTATAATAGACAAAAAATAAGATTTGAACAAGAACAGTATCTCATATTCTTAGATGTGAAGGTATAATAACAATTTTAAACTTATACCTTCAATTGATATATAAATTAAATGCAATTCAAATTAGAATCCCCATGTAAATTTATAGGGTGGTGGAGGTGGTGGTGAGAATAGATAAGCGATTTCAAGGTTCTTAAGATTAAGCAACAGGGGCTGGGGATTTAGCTCAGCGGCAAAGCGCCTGCCTGGCAAGCGCAAGGTCGTGAGTTCGGTTCCCGGTACCGGAGAAAAACCAAAAAAAAAAAAGATTAAGCAACAGTCATGTAAGTAGGTAATAAGAAACACTGAGAAAGGCCTTGCTTTACCACATAGCAGAACATAACTCAAACCCTCTTTAATCGAAATAGTATTTGGATAGGAATACACAAACAGATCAATAACAAAACAATCCTAGCATATATAAGATTTATGATATGACAAAGACAGTAGCTCTAGTCAGTAGGAAAACATACGTAACATGATTATTCTTCTAAAGGAAAATAAAATTGGACCACCATCTTATGCTGAGTACAAAAATAAATGCCAGATGGATTAGTGTCACGACACAATTTTCTACATAAAAACTGAAAATGTTCTGGAAGCCATGAAACCATACAGTCAAAAAAAAAAAAAAAACAAAACCCTATAGTTTGAAAATGTACTTATAGCCAGGTATACTGGTCATGCCTGTAATCATAGAACTTGGGAGGCTGAGGCAAGAGGACTGCTATGAGTTTGAGATCAGCCTGGGCTACACAGTCAGCTCAAGACCAGTCTGAACTACAGAGTATGACTCTTGTCTCAAAAAAAAAAAAAAAAAATTCAATCAATCAATCAATGTACTTATACTACAAATGCAAAGGATTAATTAAGTGTAATATATAGAGAATGCTTAGAAATGGACTTCTTAAATAGGAAAACTGTACAAAAAATATGAAGAGGTAATTCACAAAAAAGAAAATCACTCACATTTACTGGTAGTCAAGTAATCACAAACTAAGGATGTGCTAGCATCTCTTATACCCATCGATAGCAAAAACTATACATAGCGGTAACACTGGCTAGGATAAGGGCCAACAGACACAGTACTTTGCTGGTGGAACTACAATGCTGGGACAGTGAACTGACACATCCCTTTAGAGAAGCAAACTGGAAATAAATAAATCAAGTACAAAAAATAAACAGCCAGTTTAAAAAAACGTGTTAGCCTTTGACACAGCAGTCATGCTCCTATGACTCCATAAAACTCAAAAGATTTAGAGCATGTTTGGAGTATTTAGTAAAAGGCTATTTAAAAGGTGAAAACCAGAAACAAAATGCAGACCCAACAATAGGATAATGGTTAAATAAAAGACTA